TCAAACTTGTGGTAATCCTCCTGAGTGCTGGGATTTCAGGTGTGCACCACCACCCCTGGCAAGCTTTGCATAATTCTTCATAGGCCAGAGTTTTGGCCTATTGAAGGCTCAGAGGATCCTAGCTGGAGTTTTGACAGGAGATAATGATCTTCACTGTTTGTCTTTCTAAAAAAAGACTTTTTTGGATAATATCCATTTGACTAAATGTTTGTTATATTACTTTTCTTTTTTTTTTTTGAGACAGGGTCTTGCTATGTAGTTCAGGCTGTCCTTGTACTCACTATGTAGCCCAGGCTGTAACAGTGGTGTGCCACCCTGTCTGGCTTACCTTGTAATTATACTCCATATATGTGGTAACATTTTTCCTCATGATTTTTTAACCCATTTTGAGTTTTACTGGCACTATTATTTTGAAAGAGCAAGGGCGCAGAATGAGAAGGCCTTCCACCTACCATTTTGCAAATATTTTAAACTATTTCACTGAAGTTCTTCCTTGTTCAATAATTCCTTCACAAGGTTTCAGTATCAGAAGTCAGTTTTAAATATGACCCATAGGTCAGAAGTCACTAACATGGTCAATTTTAGTCAATCAGCAAATATTTATTGAGGGCCTATTTTATTTAATGCACTGAGGTATTATGGGCATAATATAGTTGGAATGGAAACCCAAAACCATTGTTTAATTTTTTTCTTTGTCATTTTCAGATGTAGTTTAAAAGGGGGCTTAATCTCCTTATTTTTCTTAAGTAGAAGTGTTTATTTCTGAAGCATTTATATCTTCATCCATAAAACCTTAACACCCTTCCTTTTCATTGTGTTCCTTTGTTCTCCGGGTAGCCCCTCAAATATGTCAGGCATGTGTTTGTTTCCTCTTTCCCTACATCATATCTACATGGCTTACTCCCTCACTTCCTAAGAATTTTTGCTCAAATACCACTTACTCAACGAGGCCTACCTTGACCATCTTTATCTATCTGTCTGTCTGTCTATCTATCCCATCTATCTATCTATCTATCTATCTATCTATCTATCTATCTATCTATCCATCCATCTCTCTGGAAAACTAAAGAATTATGCTGGGTGTGGTGGCACATGCCTGTCATCCCAGCACTTGGGAGGCTGAAGCGGGAGGATCACCAAAAATTCAAGAGGCCAGCCTGGTCTACACAGTCACAGTGAGTTCAACTGTACTTCCTTCAGTTTCAGCTTGCTCAATACAGGGCTGGAATCCTGCAACTTTTCACCTTTTCCTTTCAAGATGTCTTCTTTGCTCTTCTGCAAGCAAGTCTGCTATCAAAGGATTCTCAGTAATTTCTTCAACAGAGTCAATGGACATCCTTTAATTTTTTTTGTTTTTGTTTTTTTGGTACCAGGGATCAAACTTGGGACCTTGAGCTTTCGAGGCAGGTGGCGGCACCACTGAGCTAAATCCCTGGCCCTTATCCTTTAAATTTAACATCCTCCTAATAATGTCATTGAGTTCACCTGAGTAACCATATGGCCTTGGCTTGAATTTGCCTTCTCTGATTTTCTTAGCTAGTTCTTTTTGGTTGAAAGCTGTGTAAATGGAGACATTAATGTGCACAATTCATTTTTTTTTTTTTGTACCGGGGATCGAACTCAGGACCTTTTGCTTGCAAGGCAGGCACGGTGCCACTGAACTAAATCCCCCACCCCTAGTACATTTCAGATATACTTAACGATAGCATTCATCATAGGGAGTTTGCACCTATACATGATACATCCTGCCTCTTCTTTTTTTTAGGTACCGGGGATCGAACTCGGGTCCTTGCACTTGCGCAGCAGGCGGCGAAACCACTGAGCTAAATCCCTGGCCCTATCCTGCCTCTTCTTAATGTGCACAATTCAGACAACAAACAACCCGGTGACCAGACATCTGATATCTCCTTGTAGGACATGATTCATTTGTTCAGGAGACACATAATAAGGTGTGCTAATAAATGTTTTCGCAAAAATCACAGCATAGTGTAATATCCTAGCTAGCCCAAAGCCCCCAAGTTTGACGTTTTGCTTGCCAGTCAGGAAAGCATTGGCTCTTTCAGACCCTGATGGAGCAGAGTATAACCACCATCACTTCATCTGTGATATTCCTCAGAGCCAGCATGCACTGAGTCATGGCTAGAAGAAAAAACTCTTCATCCAAATATTGTCCTTCCTTGTTTCCCTTATAATAGCCAGCTTCCCTCCTTCCAAAAGTTCTATTACAATGTATAATGTTGTGTTGGTTTGGTCAACAATTGGATCATACTAACAATGTTTCAGATATTTGGATGTTTGACTTTATGAAGGGAATTCACCTCAGAGACAGACACTTGTTTTTTAGTTTCTGTGATAAGAGTTAAATTCTTTCCAAACTAATTGGCTTTTCAGTCCAGAGTTGGCTGGCTCCAAGGCAGGAAGTCACGGTGAAAAGGCCTGGGTGGAAGAAAGCTGCTGGCCTCATGGAGGTCAGAAGCGGAAAGAGCCCAGTGTATTTAAAATTACAGTACATTTTCCATTCTTCTCATCCCATGCACTACATCATTTACCTATTTATTCTAATCATCATCTCTTCCCCTCTCTCCCTCTCTCCATTAGAATATCAGCTTTATTAGAGTATTTATTTATTGACTGTTTTGTTTTTGGTACTGGGGATTGAACTCAGGACCTTGCGCCTTTGAGGCAGGCTGCAGCACCACTGAGCCCCTGCTGATTGGTTGGTTTTTTGAGACATGGTCTTGCTATGTAGTTCAGGCTGGACTTGAACTATGTTGCCCAGGCTGGTCCTGAACTCACGGCAATATTCCTCCCTCAGCCTCCTGATTGTTGAGATTACAGGGATGTGCCATCATGATGGCAATTTTTTTTTTTTTTTTGGTACTGGGGATTGAACTCGGGACCTCATGCTTGCAAGGCTGCAAGGCAGGCGCTGGAACCACTGAGCTAAATCCCCGGCCCCATGATGGCAATTTTTAAAATCTGATTTTTCACAAGCACCTAGACCATTGCTTGTCATTTAGAATGAACTCCAATATTTGTCCAGTGAATAAATGTGTCCCCCCGCACCCTGGATTTTCTACTTCATGTTTCCAAGTTCAACTTTTCTTTGTACTCAGTTTTCTTCCATTTCCACTTCTCTTTATTCTCATTTAGTAGTTATTCTTTCTTTCTTTGGGTAGGAGTATTGTAATTTCAGAAGTGGGATCATGCTATATTCATCACTCACCCACTAGCTTTTCTCAACTAATAATATCAGGACAACAGTTATAGGCCAGGCATTCTTTTTGATGTATGCATAACATTTTACCATATAGCATCAGTATAGTATCAGTATGTAATATCTATAATTTTCTTCCTTCTTGGTTGGGACAGATCCCTGTAAGAAAAGATAAATTAACAAAAGAAAAACAAACAAAAGTTTAATAATTTGCATTTCATGTGTACATGGAATATACCTCCAAAATGAGTAAATCTTGAAAAGGTGGATTCAAATTCAGGGTTATACAGCATATTCAACAAAGAGCAGTAAGTTTTTAGAGGCTTGATAAGACAGAGAAAAAGGATTTTGAGTCTCTAGGGATGGCAAATTGTGCGAAGGCAAATAAAGGATAGAGAAAAGGTCTTTGGTAAAGTTTGTCATATAGATTCTTCTGATCCTGGTGGATTAAAGTCTGTCAAAAGACAAAATTAAGGCCAGGGATTTAGCTCAGTGGTTTTGTTGCCTGCCTCGAAAGTGCAAGAACCGGAGTTTGAG